CGGAAGACTTAGATACCAGTCGGAAGACTTAGATACCAGTGATCCGAACAATCAATGTTGCAATGCAGCCATGAACATACATCATCATCATGGTTACATGGTGTGAAATGGGCCAGGCGCTTCACACAGGAAGACTGCGCCAGCCCATACCATACACAGACGAAGAGGAAGGGGATAGACGAAGAGGAGGGGGAAGATGGGAATGTCGTCAACACCAAGTCTTCGGCACAAGCCCAAATAGTCCCTCGTCGAAATGTCTGAATCCCAAATGTCAARTCTGGATCCAATGTCGTCAAGTCTCAAGTCACAACTCTGTCTCTTTCTGCCCTAGTCTGAGAAGTCAAGTGGCGAGAGGGTGAGAAGAGAAGGTGGACTTAGAAGAGGAAGAAGAAGAACTCTCTCTCTCTCTGTGTCCAGTACTAACCTGTGAAGTTGGCGCCTTGATGCAGGTACCACGAAGATGGAGCTGGAGCGATGGCGCTACAGGTTAGTACCACTGGCCTCCGCGAGTCTCTCTCTCCCACTCTACGATCTACCACCTACCAGCGCCCAGCGCTAAAGACTACAGCTACAGCTATGGCGCCCAGCGCCGAAGACTACAGCTTGCGCTAATACCACCTAGCGTTGAAGACTACTGCAGCGCTCCTCCTGAGTGCTGCGGCCGAAAATTGTGAAGACTACCTCGTGCCTACTGAACTACCTACCCGTGAAGTGCATGGGAACCTCCTATGTACTACCGGGTGTGCCTCCTGAGCCTGCCGAAGGGAAGCAGGGGCTGGAGCTGCAGCTCCTGCTCAAACTCGTGAGGAACAGGCTATTTCTGGCCTGTTCTGCATCCCTGTTTATGTGCCTGAGTCTTAGGGGCAGGTCGAAACAATGAGGGCCTGAAAATGGCCCTCCGTTTCAGGCTGAAAACTTTGGGTCTGAAAAGACCCAGAAATAGGCTGAAACGGGGTAGGGCCTGCAGGCCCTCGTTTTTCAGCTTCCAGGCTGAAACGAACAGRGCCTGTAAGCCCTAAGTTTTAGGCTTTTAGGCTGAATGTCCGGGACGGGCCCTGCAGGGCCCGTGTGGCTACGCAGTATGCCACAAGAACCGAGCTTACCTGCGAGGGCGAAGCTGTCTGTCTGAGGGAGGGACCACAGTCCCTGCAGGGCCCTATTTCTGGCCTGTTCCACATCCCTGTTTACGTGCCTGAGTCTTAGGGGCAGGTCGAAACAATGAGGGCCTGAAAATGGCCCTCCTTTTCAGGCTGAAAACTCTGGGTCTGAAAAGACCTAGAAATAGGCTGAAACAGGGTAGGGCCTGCATGCCCTCGTTTTTAAGCTTTCAGGCTGAAACGAACGGGGCCTGTAAGCCCTAAGTTTTAGGCTTTTAGGCTGAATGTCTGGGACGGGCCCTGCACGGCCCGTGTGGCTACGCAGTATGCCACACCCCCCCTTCCTTGAAGAACCGAGCTTACCTGCGAGGGCGAAACTGTTTGCCCGAGGGAGGGACCACAGTCTGGGTGGGAGGGGCTGGTCGTGAAGCTTCCTGAGCTAACCTCCGCTTTTCATAATGTGCGTAGATCAGCGGTGCGGATGCTTTCAAATCTGCGCCTGAAATCCACCGAGTGTCGTCGCGATCACATGCTTTGAATGTGACTTTGTACTGCCGCGGATTGCAGCCGTACTTGCGATCGGAGATGACGCGGTCAACTTCCTGATGGCCATCCATAGAAGGAGGGTCCTGCGATAGTCGGTCCGGAAAGTCGTCGCTCTTGGCTGGCGTATATGTTGCCAGCTTCGAGGCGTGGAAGACCGGATGGACCGTCAGATGCTCTGGAATGTTGATCACAAATGAAGGGCCATCGGGCTCATCGCCCGCGGCTGCTGTCACCGACCAAGGTCCAAATCACTTGGGAAGCAGTTTGCGTGAAACATCATGTTCCAGTGCAAACTCTTCCGCGGAGACCCAAACCAGATCACCGGCGYGGATGGGACATGGTACGCGACGCCTGTTGGCTTGCTGCTGCATGCGGACTTGAGCCTTTTGCATATTTGCGTGGGCTTGAGTCAGCAATTCCCTGTACTTCCGGACGGAAGCGGGAGAGCAGGCAGCGTCAATGTCGGCTGGTAGAGGGAGGAGAAGGTCGGCGAAGATTCGGCCTTTCCGTCCACTGTTGTGCAACTCGAATGGAGTCACGCCGATCGCCGGATGCACCGAAGTGTTGTAGGCGAACTCGATGTCGGGGAGGCGGCCAACCCAATCTTCCTGGTCCAGACGGATGAGCGTACGAAGCATCATTTGAGCAGTTTGATGTGCCTGCTCTGTCTGCCCGTCTGTCTGAGGATGTCGAGCCGAACTTGGTTTCATTGTTGTGCCGGACTCCTGCATGAGCGCAGTCCAAAACGCCGAAATAAAACGAGTGTCGCGGTCGCTGACAATGTCTTCTGGTACACCGTGGCCACAAATCCAACCAGTGTGCAGGAGGCGTGCCAGCTCGGGAGCCGTGGAGTAGTACTTGCAAGGGAGAAAACGCGCGTACTTACTCAATCKGTCCACAACCGTGAGGATGCCGTCGTGCCCGAGACGGTCGCGAGGAAACGGACCGGTGACGTCCATGGCAATGGAGAGACCGGGTTCCCGTGGGATAGGCATCGGGTGTAACTCGTCGTAGGGATTGCGGTTGCGGGGCTTGCTTCGTCAGCAAACTTCGCCATAGTCGCAATACCGATTGACATCGGTAATGAGGTCGGGCCATCGAAATCACTGTCGAAGCCGTGCAATAGTGCGGTTGACTCCGAAATGGCCAGCGAGTCGTGAATCATGATACTCGCCGAGGAGGCGAGTCCGAAGACGACGGTCGCGTGGGACACATAGTAAGTCCTTGCCTCTCGAGTGGAGGAGCAAGTACCCGTCGACAATGCGGTAATGGTTGGCCGGCGGGTGATCCGAAGATAGTTGTGCATAGAGCGTGCCGAAGTCCGGATCAGACTGATATGCCCGGATGAAGTGTCGCTGAAGCTCCTCGTCGAATGCGAAGGCATAATGTGTCATAGCGCAAAGATCAGGTCTTCGCGAGAGTGCATCTGCTGCGCGATTGGCGAGGCCGGGGACATGTTTCGGTGTGAAGTCAAATTGGTCGATGAAGTACATCCATCGTCYGATCGTGCTGCTCACCGTGTCCTGCATCTTATAGTAGGTTAATGGATTGTTGTCTGTGACCCATGTGAACCTATGACACCTAAGGAGGAAGTGCCGCCAGCGCTTGAGAGCCATCACGAATGCGAGTAGCTCCTTCTTCCTGGTATCATCAAGCGAGTTGATGGGAGGCACTTTGTGGCTGAAATACTCCACAGGGTGCCAGTCGTCGCCGTCGTGCTGTTCCAAGACTGCCCCAATGCCATAGCCGGAAGCGCCCGTAGTCACTCGCGTCGGCAGGGTGAGGTCATAGATGCTAAGGACGGGTGCCATGAGCATAGTCGTCTTAAGTGCTTGGAATGACCGGCGTGCGTAGTCATCGGATACGAATGACACCTTTGGCGCCTGTAACCTCGTCATAGGTGCAGCAATCCTGGAGTATCCGGTGATGAATCGCTGAGAGTAGCCCGCCAACCCCATGAATGAATGAACGTCCGTGGTTTTGGTGGGCTCGGGCCATACTCGTAGGGCCTCGATCTTGTCCACAAGCGGATGGATGCCTTGCGGCGTCACATAGTGTCCCAAGTACTCCAGCTCCTGTTGTGCGAACTCACACTTGTGGCGGCTTGCTTTGTACTTGGCTTGTCGTAGCCGCTCCAAAACGGTGCGCACTTGTTCCACATGCTCGTCCAAACTCCGACTATACACCAAGATGTCATCGAGGTAGATGAGTACAAACCGATCCAGCATGTGTCGGAACTCCATTGTCATAGCCGCTTGGAAAGTGGCTGGGGCATTCGTAAGGCCAAACCGCATAACCAACCATTCGAAATGCTCATACCGTGTCTTGAACGCGGTCTTGTAGCGATCCTCCTTGCGAATCTCGAGTTGGTGGTACCCTGACTTAAGATCCAGCTTAGAGAAGAACTGGGTGCCGCCCAATCGCTCTAGAAGGTCATCGATGCGTGGGAGAGGGCCGGCGTTCCTCATCGTCTGCGCGTTGAGCTTGCGATAATCGATGCACAACCGCAGGTCCTTGTTCTTCTTCCGGACGAAGAGAACAGGAGCACCGTATGGCGATAAGCTAGGCCGAATCCAGCCTTTCTCTAGAAGATCGTCGAGTTGTGCGCGGAGCACACTTAACTTTTCCTCGCTCATTCGGTAGATGCAACCGCGTGGAGGTACGGCCCCGTCCTCGAGGATGATCTCGTGGCGGATGGGTCGATCCGTTACTACTCCGTGCGGGCCTTCAAACACGTCGCTGTCGGCGTCGAGAAGTTCGGTGATGCGTGGATCCAAAGGTGAGTCCGTCGATGAAGCGTCATGGGGCGGGAGGGCATGTAGAAAACACACCCCCATCTCCTCGATGTTGTCTCTGATGATGGAAGCTCGCATGCTTGCAGCGGATACCACGTGGCAGTTGATCGAAGGATGAGGAAGAGGCACCGTGCATGGAACTAGTACTCCGTTCCGATCACGAATGTGAACGGTGCGGTGGAAGAAGTTCACCGGGTGATCCTCGCATTGCAGCCATGACATGCCCAAGATAATGTCAAATTTGGTGTCCAGAATGTCAAAGGACACCGCCTCACTTGCGTGAGGGGCAAAGTACACTGGGACGTTGTCAATGCACCGGTCGATTGACTTGTGTGTGTGACCGTCCGCCAACGTGACTTGCGTAGGCTGGGACTTCCTCCGGACCCGTGGGCCAAGGCCGGCGCGCACCATGAAGTCCTGGCTGATGTAGTTGCGAGACGCTCCGCAATCGATCAAGGCACTGCAGGTCGCCTCTCCAATCTGAATGCGTACGTATAGCAATGGTGCGTCGATGCCGTCGTACCGTTGCGTCTTGAACTCGCGGTCGATCTTCGCGATGTAAGTGTGAAGGTCGACAACCTCTGCTCCGGCGTCCATCAACGGAGCTGGTATTGCAGTGTGCAAGTAATCCCGCAATTGTGCCATAAGCATATTGCAATGCGGTCTCGACAATCGTCCGGTCGGGGGAACGGGCATCCACTGGAAGTCCGTGAACGTCAATGGGTCGAGCTCTTCAAGTCTTGACCATGACGTTGAATCCCCGGGAATAGGTTGCGGCGAAGCTGCTGAATCGGTTGCCGATGGTGATGAAACCGTGCATGCGGTGGATTGTTGCACGTGGAGCGGTTGGTCCAGCGGTGGAACCAACTGGACAACATAATCCTCGTAAGTATACTGAGGAGTTGCGACATTCGCATCCTCCCCAGATGTGCAGGAGGCTGCTAGTTAGGCGGCCGAATCTGGTGGAGTAGAAGGTGGAGTCGCCTAACCTTCTGCGGAGCTCAGTTTCCTGAGCTGAGGCGAGGTCGCACATCCTCCTTGCCCTGATCTTGGCACATGGAGGTCTTGTGCTTTGTGTTGTTGCACCAATAGCAGCTGTCAGAGCGGTCGCGGACCTTGTACTCCGCCTCGGTCAAGCCAAACTTGACCCATGGAATTGTACTGGCTGTCCATTTCCGGCCTGCGATGCGGATTTCTCCTTCCCATTGTTGCGGGACTTGTTGTTGCTTCGCGGTTGGACAACAGCCACCTGATCTCTGTCACTTGATGCTGGAGTGGCTGCTGGGTTATCTCCACTGTCGTGCTGGACTGCAGCGAAGTGCTGCTGTCGCGGACCAGTTCGTACCTTCTCCACATAGGTCGGCTGCCATGGTGACTTCTCGTGTGCAGCTGACCTGTTGGTCTCGATGATTTCCCTCGCCTTGTAAATGATTTCAGCGAAGGTTGAATACTGCTCGCGATCACCAAGAGCCTGGCTCAATGCCGCACAGGATCTGTTGTAGAACTCACGTCTGAGATGAGTGAAAGGCAGGTCCAAATTGGACACTGTCGCAATCTTCTGCCACTCCGTGAGCCAGTCCCGTCTTGCAGTGTTGCCCTGTGACATGGTGAACAGACGGTTGATGGCGAGTGTCGGCGCGTCGTCGACGATGAACCGCTTTTTCCACAGCCGTGTCAATTCCTCCCATGTGATTTTGTCCTTCAAGTCTGGTCTGCAACGCCGTGGGAGGTTGCCAGGTGGCTCAACCAGGTCTGGCACCCGCCCTTTGAGTTCAGGAACAGGGCACCGATGTACGCATGCTTGGCTACGGGCAGAATCCTGAGTTGCGTTGTGAATGCTTCCCACCAGAGGACCGGATCCTGCTGCGTGTAGTCGTCGAACCTCTCCAGATTGAAAGTTGGCATCTTATACATCTTCGGGTTGCCATCCGCGTTCGTCGTCTGCAGCTGCTGGACCTCGGTCTTCAATGTATGCAGTTGACTGCTGATGGTGGTAGTCGGCGCAGCGAAAGTGCTGATGTCGCCGAGCATTGCCACTACGTGGTCAACGCAGTCCTCCAGTTGGCGGCTAGAGGGTGCACTGCTGGAAGTCCCAACAGTTGGTCCTGGTACAGCCTGTTCCAGGTCCAACAATCGGGCATTGAGTGTCCGAGTTGCATCCTCGTGGCTCTGCACCATGCGGCGGAGCTTTGGCAATTCCTGATGCTGTTGCGTCAGGTCCTGGTACTGTCTCTCCAACTCTGACCGTTGGTAGTTGCAAGCGTACAACATCCTTGTCACGAACCAATTAGACACTCTACCCAATCATCCCAACAACCTGAAAATTTGGATGAAAAAACTGTTAGTGAGCCATCAAAGTATGTATCTGGGTAACTGCGGAGCCGAAACTCTTTCTTTAGTGTGAGGAGGAAGATGAGTTCTGCAGCAGGTATTGAAGAAAAAAACTTGGCTCTATGGAGAAAGAAGTTGATGACTGCCAATTTCTGTTGCTTGCTAGAGTAAGATCTGAAGTCTTGGATGACCTAAAACATAATATCGCCTGTAGCCATGAGTGGGGCTTGGTTGCGATGAGAAGGGAAGCACAACACCCCTTTTAGCGCTGGGAAGACTTGTAGTTGGCAACCCAAAAATTCCCATCTCTCATTACTACTAGTGCATTCCAAAGTCAAATTATCATCTTAACATTCTCTGAACTTCTTGAGTACTGACCTGCTTCTGTCCTGAGAAATCTGGCACCCTTTTTTATATTTTATGAATACCGAAACATCATCTACCGGCCTTACTCCATGAATCAGTGCCATGTCTTTCCCTAACGAGGCCAAAAAATTTACCTCATTATACATACATAACATAGCCGTCAGCGCCGGACTAGACGATTTTCCCATGGGAACCCCCTCTTCCTGTTTCAAAACTTTCCCCATGATCATGACATAAGTATGCTAGAGATAAAATAAAACGAATTCCTCTATCTGCCAGAAGGTGATGAGCTTCCAACCAAGCTTAGACCTAGATACTGAGAGTCTTGCTTCCTTGCCTCTACCTTTAACCCAAACCCCATGAAAACCTTTCGTTTGAAAAAAATAGGTAAACCATCTTACTGCAGCCTGTATTGATGCATGTGGTAACTTAGTGAACATCTCTTTGACGTCGAAGCTAGCGCTGAGCAAGTTCTCCTCAGATGAAACCGACCTGTTAATGTTGTGTAAAGCGCCCATCAGTTCTTTCGTGCTAAACAGGTTGAGATGTAGGGAGCCAGGAAGAGCCTTAATCAGGGCATTCAAACAGGCCGTAATCCTTTTGCAGGTCGCCAGTGTGGGTTCAGACGATGTGGGGCATATCGGTCGCCATTTCGAAATGCTTTTGTGCTTAGGTATCACATATCCTTTCCCTACCTGTCCTTTCTAGTTCCAAGCAGAGATCGCTTAGGTATCACATATCCTTTCCCTACCTGTCATTTCTAGTTCCAAGCAGAGATCGCCTCTAATCCCTGACTTTTGTACTCTTTCCTGCAAGTTAGCGGGATAGCGTCCGCATTAAATTTTACTTCTGCGAAACCCGGATTTTTGTGGAAGAGAAGATCAATACCTTTCTGGTAAAACGTTGGACAGCAAAAAAAAGTATCTCCGGGATTGTGATCCACAGGTGCTAACACTAACCCTTTGAGGAGTTCTTTACATACTTCCACACCTTCTGGGGAGAAAGGTATCAATCTTAGATCCTTGAGGGACTTGGGGGGAGCTACAGAAGAGAGGTGAACATCCTGAGGTGAATGGTTTCTGAAGCAGGTAATCAACAATGACAGTGAGATGTGAAGGTCATGAGAAGGCATCAGAAGTGGCATCTCTTTGAGCGTTCGGAGGATCTGAGTTCGCAGGAAAGAAGGGCCATAAGCAGTGGAGGGAGGGGGGATATTTTTGGAGTTCCGGAGCCATTCAGGAACGAGGGCCGAGTCTTTAGCCCTGAATACAATGTGTCCATCTACTGCTGGCAATAGTGATAGCATCATCTTCTCCTCAAGAAAAAATTCAAATCTCCTGTAGATAGCTGCACATTCACAATTCAGGCTATCCATTCGAGAATAGGTCTGAAAATTCTGCAGAGACTGCGCTAGACTATCGTTTTTTGTCCACACAACACGCATTCTCCTTGCTAACATCAGAGCTAAAGGTTTGGACAGACAGGATTCACTGACTAAACGAGCGCACACCGATCTCACACTCGCCTTGGATAAGGATTCTGAAAATTTAATTCTAAAAACCAGTCTTTTTCGCGGGCAAAACCCGAATCTTCTGCGAATCACTCCTGACAAAATCGTTCTCAGAATCTGCCTAAGACTCTTTCCTGGAAAAACACCTAATAGTGTTGTAGGCAAAAACGAGATTATCGAGAGGCCACTTGTACATATCCTTCCTTTCGAAGGGTGACTGAGAAACCTGGCCATTGATGCTTTCAACATTTCAGCACGAGAACAAAACCTCATAATACTAACCACATGAATTACACTCCCACTTAGCAGCCAAGCCTTGCAATGTTTCAGTTGATCTCTACCATACCTCCTAGCTACTATCGATGCACCATACATCCTTTTCACAACTTTTCAAGAATCTGCAAGCACACTTTCTCCTTCACTTATCACTGAGATAGATTTTGTGCCCACCCTATTGCATTCATTCAAAATGAATAACAGCGAGATGGAAGTAATACCCAAAGAGGAAACTAACTTTGCGAGATGCTTCTTTGTTGATAAAGAATTACCCAGACTCTTTTCTGCTACGTGTTCCTGAATCTGATTTCTTGATGCTTGTTTCTTCCTTTCGCGTTTACCTGGCCTAGGTCTTGATTTTCTTCTCTTCGTGTTACCACCGTAACGCGTGTTGAGGTAGGGAGATTGTACACCTATCATTCTTTTTTCTGCAGGTAACAAGTCCGACTGGGAAACGACCGCCAAAGGAATTGCTACATAATGATAAACTCCTGTTCTTCTAAGCCACCTGTATAGCCTATGGTTCCTGGTCACAATGGACTGCTTATCAACAGCTAAGGCCCGATTAACATGTTCAGTGACACCCCATCTAAGATTTAGATTCCTGGAAGTGCAACCAACGTAGCAGTGCTTAGCAAAGGGAGAGACGAGACAGTAGACAACCGGGCTAGGAGCTGCGCAGAAATCATATCCAGATTGAAGCAGATGTAGCAAAAAAACAGATGACTTGAGACTCCATGGAATATGACCGAGAAGAATTAAGGAAGTCATTAATATCCGACAAAAATTCTCTAATTTAGTGCTAAGCAATCCTTCTCTGGACTTCCTAAGTAGAAAACACAGATGTAACAATTCACATAATACTCATCCGCTTGGGCAGAGTCCCTATTCCTCTCCAAGCTGTTCGTCGCCGTCGGCATCGATATGCTGCGTTTCCTGCACATCCGTACCTACCTCCGTATCATCACGTATCTCCTCTGCCCCTGAATCCTGCTGGGCGCGAGTACTCTTGCGGTTGTCTCTGGCGACTGGTCGAAAATCGAAGGCGAGAGACGCACGAAGCTCTGCTAACTCGTTGATTGCCTATTCGCAGGTGACGAAGTTGATACCTTCCTTCCCGCATAAGATTTGAAGACCATGCTTCTTCAGCCTCTTTAGGTACTTCTTCGTATCTTTGATAAACTCGTTTCTTTCAGTGACTGCGGCCTTGGAAGCAAGCCTGTCCGACGTTCTCTTCGGCGGTGAAGGTCTCAGCGTTAAGTCATCCAACCCTTCCTCAGTCTGGCCTTGATCGTCGCCGCGCTCATCATCAGTGGACTCATTCATCCTCTGGGTCAAATTAGATCGGGGAGTCCGACCTTGCCTGAACAATTTTGCCACTGCCTTCTCAAAACGATCCCTCAGAGCCTGTACTTCAATATCAGCCATTCGCTTCTCCTCCTTCATCAAATTGTAAGCTCTGAGGAGCTTCTGGAACTCACTGGATGTTGGTGTTCTCGTACCCAATACACGCGCCTTCCCTCTGGCAAGCGCCTCCGGAGGACTTGTAATGCAGACACCTGATCCCGCTCTCTTCGTCCCTGCGCTAGTCTGTTTTAGAGTTCTGGTCAACTCCTCCATATGCTTCTTAATACATCCGTGCTCGCGTCTCAGGACTTCAATCTGCTTCTCCAACAGTTCTTTCTCCACGTCCACCGTGGCACGCCCTCTTAGTTGAACTCCACGAGCTCTTGCAGGATCGGTTGGCGAAATCCTGTCTTTGTCTGTTTTGCCAAGGAAGATCTCGCAAGCATCGTTAATCTTCGTGCCAACTATTGCCCCAATTCTTTCTTCGAAATCTTTCCTCTCCTTAAGCTTACGAAGAGCCTTGTCCTCAGCTTCCTTGGCCTTCTTCATGTCCTCCTCTTCCTTGAGCATCCTCTCCTTCTCTCTGATGGCCTCCTGCCTTACCTCCAGTTCTGACGCCATGAATTCATAAACGCGATCTAACTTCTCTTGATTGAGCTTCCACCAAGATTGCCTCGGGGTAATGGCCTGCGAAGGATTCGTGCTGATGGTAGACTGCGGGGGAGGTGGGGGAAGAGCAAGAAGGGGTGCTTGTGAACATAAGCCTCCGTGCGATGATGATGGGAGTGATGGAGCAGCATAAGGTGGGGGTAGCGGTGGGAAAGCAGATGGGCGGTGGTTGAGGGATGGTTGGCGGTAGGGGGATGGTTGGCAGTAGGGGCACTCACGCGCAAAGTGCCCCGGCATGTTACAATTATAACAAAGCCTGGGAGACGACATTTCCACAGAGCAAGCGAAACGGACAGCCGATAGGAATTAGAATTGAACTCTGAAAGCCGTAATCAGGAAGAAGGTAGTTGATACCAGCGTGATTTCACTTAGTTTCCGACAAGATTCCACAAGATCCACCACGTAGGGTTACGGTAACTTACACGCTTTCAAACAACAAAAAAACTTTTCCTCGTTGAGTATCGGTCAGATCGAGCTGCGGATGACTGGTGGGAATTCAAAGGCAAGGCGAGTAGAAACATAAGCAAAAGATCATGGGAGAGTAATACGATGAGCGAAGGAATAAATCATGAGCAAATAGGGGCCGAGTATGAGATCAAAACAGTAGATAAGTAACTGGCGGAACCGTGAACGAGGGAATAATAAATTAGATAACGGGGTAACAAGGTACAAAACCCAGACAACCACACAACAGTAGTGCAATTTCTACTATGGTTATTGTTCGAGTCAAAGTTGGAACAAGAGCAAGGCGAAGAGCCTAAAATGCTCTGGGGATACAGACGGACAAGTGGGATTTCAAGGTGTGAGAAAAAGAATAATCCACATTAATACGAGTAGTCACGACGATGAGGTCTAGCACGCCTGTTGGCATCATCCCTTTTGCATTTCTCTATGGCATACCTCAAAGTTCCATACGAAATCTCAGAAAAAATGCAGAGGACTCAAAGCCAAAAAATAACTGCATCCAAAGACCACATGAATATTTTTAACCAATCCATTTTATATATATATATATATATATAACCCTTTATATCAATCAACAACACATTCAGATTACAAAAGAGCAGAACCACACATTTCTAATCGGAACGGGGCGGGGAGGAAGGGGAGCAACGAAAAATAACGAAAGAGGTTACTCAATATTGAGGAAAGGGAAGGAAGGAGAGGGAGGGAGGGAGTAAGAGCGAGAAAAAAAAGAGCGCAAAGATGGACACGTATGGAAGCAGAGTAGTAACAGGGAAGAGAAGAGTGCCAACGCCCGAAAGCCAGCGATAGTAACAGGAGTCGACAACGATCTCTCTCGAACCCCAAGCGGTGGTCTTCAAAATAATTCATGAAGTACATATGTGCCAACTCATATGACGAGAAACATAAATCAGGCATAGTGCCTTCATCCATCCCACTCGTCCGAAGAGTAGCACGCGTCGGCGATGCCCGACATGTTTCGACTGGAGCCGACAGCCAGTCATCATCAGGAGCGTAAACCAGGGCACGAGATGAAGATCGTTCTCGTAGGAGAGAAATAAATAGTAAAGCGCCATCCTAAGCATTGCGGATAACCCGAGGGGAGTAGCCCTGTAGGAGGAGAGAG